TCCTCACTCCCTACAGACCATGCCAAACATTTTGTAGTAATAATAATAGTAGTTGTTATTATAGTTACTATTACTTTTAGTGTTAATTTCTGTTATTATTATTACTGATATTTCCGCAACAACGAATAGCATTTAAGTACAAAATTTGACGGAGCCAAATACAGAAAGAATATTATAAAATTATAATGATAAAAAAGTTTTTCGCTTAACACTTATTTAAATATACATTCAGGGAGAAATTAAAAAAATATATGGGGTAATATTTGTTGATGTGAAAGTAAATTAAACTTCAGGTAAAAAACGCTGAATGTTTTACTAATAATAGATTATTTAAATCACGCCTTACCTTCATTTGACACAAAGATAATATATTGTATTTTTCCTTCTATTATTAAACTTGCTTGAACTCAGTAAATATCGAGATTAGAAGCCGTTCGGATGTATAATTGCCACAGTAGTGCCACGATCAGGAATGGCATAAATTACACTATACGCTATTTCATTTTTGAGGCTCGATTAGAATAATATCAAGGCAACGTGTCTGGTTCCTCCTACTTGCAACCATGTTTATTAAGTCTACTCCTACTTTACATGCTTGAGCAATTTCGTTATTCGCGACATATTTTTTGCGGCAATTAGCTCCACACCTATTTCTCAAGGTAGGTAGATAGCACGTCTGTAGAAAAGCGAGCTCCATTTTACCAAGAAGATGAGGAACTTAGACGCAACTATCATGAATTTATTATATAATAATTATTCGTCACGCTTCAAGCCATTGAGGTGAATTCCACAAGACCGTTTGGAAGAACTCTATGAATACGGCCGAATAAGCGTTTAGAGATAAGCATGACAAATATCATTCGTTCCACGTGAAACGACTTTCTAATTGGTGTGGCTGTCAGAATCATATCTGCGTCTGATAACGGCCTCCAATGGTAGCCCAGCGGCACCTCCTTTAACTAATAAACAATTTCCAGCCGAGAAAGAATGTGTAATTGTTATTCATTTCGTTGAACGTAACGTTCTCAATCGGCTACTTCTACTGTATCTATTATTTATGAAAATGAAATGTATTTTAAATTCATTGTATGCTGTAGTGTTTGTGTATATTTCCTTCGTTTCGATATACAGGGTGATCCACGAACGGTGATCCACGAACTGTGACCACAAATGAAACTTCGTATTCTTTGTTAAATTTTAAGAGGAGTCTTTCCTATAAAGTTTTTATCTAGGACGCTTCGTTAAAAAGATACAGTGTGTTAAACATAAAAAATATTTTTAATTTTTTTAGATAATTTAAAAACTAGTAAGTGAAATAATTTGAAATTAAGCACATGTATTTATGTAAATATTGTCCAAAATCTGAGGGCATTTCCTAAAATTTAGATTCTCCAGTGGAGCAGATACAGGGTATTGGTGGCATATTTTTCTAAATAAAATAGTACGCCACTGCTTTACGGTAACAACCATGATATTTTTGGATTTGTCTTTCAATTTACTACAAATTACTACTCTTAGGTATGCTAAAACTTAAGAAACAAACTGAAATTTTTACTTAAATTACATGACAAACACTAATTATTCGTTTATTTATTCGAATAAAGAAATTAATAACATTAGTCATCATTTTAATGATTTTATAGTAAATGCGCAAAAGTATCTCCATTTCCACAAACACAGGTTCGACATCTTTTTAGTAACAAAGATGTAATTTGTTCGAAATTTATTGTTGCTTGAATTTGATGGAAAGCATTAATTTATTCTTTCTTGCAACTGCTCAGAATATCAAAGTTGCTATCGCAGCCTACTATATAATTTTAAACAGTATTTTATTCGAATATCGAAGTGTGTTTTCAGTTAATTTTTTAAATTTTACTCGAAAATCAGGCTTGTTTCGAAAAATATAAGAGAGTAGTAATTTGTAGAAAATTGAAAGACGAATCCAAAATATCATGATTGTTACCGTAAAGAAGTGGCGTGTGTACTATTTTATTTAGAAAAATATGCCACCGATGCCCTGTATCTCCGCCACTGGAGCATTTAAATGTTAGGGAAAGGTCTCAGATTCTGGACAATGTTTACATACACAAATATACCCAATTTTAAATAATTTCACTTACTAGTTTTTAAATCATTTAAAAAAATTGAAAACATTCCGTTAAGTTTGACACCCTTAAAATTCACCAAAGAATACGAGATTTAATTTTTGGTCACTGTTTGTGAATCGCCCTGTATAGCAACACAAACGTATTATTCTTATTATTAGTAGAAAACAAAACAATGCAAAATTATAAATCTATACGAGACTACAAACTTTGATGTTTTGTGTGTACGAGTGGTGACCTATTATTATTATTTTTCGAACGTTAAAAGCTATGAACCGAGAAGTTTTCAAATTTTGACAAAATTTCCCATACCTTGGCAATAATTAATAAAATAATATTAAATTTGAGCCCTTCTAAACTTTCGAGTATTGTTAATTTGGAAACATAAATAAAGAAAACCCTTTAATGTTGAGTAAAAATGATATACAGGGTACCTATAAAGGGTCTATACAACGTTCCACCAGACATCGAACGGCTCAAAATAAGTCGATTTAACTAAACTTGCATTTGTCCAAAAATTGATATTAACGGAGGTACACGGTGTTAATGTTGAAAATATAAACGTTTTCTTTAATATCTTTCGAGTACTTTGAACCAATTTACTGAAATTTCGAATCCGGGGTTTTTTGGGATGAGAAATTCGAATTTATCGAGGATTTGTATCTTCTAGTATGCGCCACAGACGACCAAATTTGTTTAAAAGTTATTTTAAACAACATTAAAAAACATATCTTTTAAGACAGGTAAATAATAGTTATTTTTTAGACTTTTACATCGTTCAGATTGGTTACATTGTTTAGATTGTGTTATATTGACAGATTGTTTTCAGAAAGTATGTTTTTACTCTGTCATTTCTGTTTGAAGTAAAATTGTTAAATAAATTACATTTAAAATTGGAATTGCACTGTTTCCTTTAAAGGCATATTTTTTTGTAATATTTCCTAATATTGCTCCAAATTTCGTTTATCAGTGGAGTTGAAAATACCTTTTAAACAAATAAATTTTTTATATATTTACAAATTTAAATGCTTTTTTTATCGAAAACGGTTGGCTGTAGAGATATTAGCAAATGTTCCTTTTTTAAGCAGAAAAGTTGTGGGAAAACATTTTTCCAGCCTGAAATGAAATACACCGTGGCGCAAAAAAGTTTTGGCAGTTTAAATGCGCCCTAGAAGATATAACGAAATCGTCGGTAAATTCGAATTTTCCAAAAAAAACCCCGGTTAGGAAATTTCATGAAATTGCCTAGAAGTAGTCGAAAGATATTAAAGAAAATAAATTTTTTCAACTTTGACAATTTGTAAGGTAAAAATATTTATTGTGCATAGTTACAATGGCAATATACAACACATACACAAAAGGACTAGACACAGATAACTGATAATTAGCCTACCCCTCAGAAAATCAATTAACTTACACATACTAAAAGCAATATGATTATAAAGTGTTATTAAAAAGTGTAAAAAAACAATATAACTTATAAATATATATACACAACACTCATACATGCTTGTGCAATACACATACAAATACGTAGTACAGTCAGACACACACTCATACACACCACGCATATTATATTAATACAAGTCAAAAACTAAAAAACTAAAACTAAAAAACAGCAGCATTTGTGGAGTTATCGTTTTCCATGACCAACTCACGAATGCGTTTCTTAATCAGAGGTGCATTACGGAGTGTTAAGTCCTGAGGCACCAGTACATTATTTAATACCATAGCTGCTAAATAGGTAAACGAACCTCTAAAATACTCAGTTCGATGACGCATTATTTGCAAATCATGTAAATTACGAAGCTGACGATCATGTACATCATGTCGCCAAACCAACTTCTCATAAAAATAGTCAGGAGTTGTATTACACAGTATATTAACTTTAAGTGATAACAATTGTACAAAAATCAAGCATTCTTAACATAAAAATATATATACAAGGTAACTCACAATACTATGCTATTAATAATATATTATTTACATCCAACATTAAACATGTAACCTTTCTTTTACTCTAAATATATAGTAAAACTTATCAAATGAAGACAATGCTATTTAATAACAGTAATCTGGGTATGTGAAAGATATGTGAGAATGAGAACATGCTGTGTAAAAATGACTCCATTCGTTGTTAATATTACGAATTTTTGAATAAGGGGAGCACAAAGTTGCGTATAAACAGATACCGACGCGCAGTTTAGGCTCCACTATCAGACAATAAATACGTTAACTGGTTGTAATCAAGAATTGATTTTAGTTATTTATTAGTTGTAGTATACCAATACGACACACATAGTTTAACAGTTAAATGTCATTCACTGTTATTGATATAAGAATTATTTAGCTAACAAATAACTGAACATTACTCAACGAATTGTTATTGTTTCAACAGAATTAGGTGTGTGGATGACCACAAAAAGTAGTGTTGAGTTTGAGAGAAAATTTACAATTTTATTTCTCTTTTTCCCGATAAATAAAAAAATTAATCTTCTGATTAATTTTTAATGTGGTTGTCCACATTTCCTGAATATTTCAACCTGATTTAAATAAATTTTATTTTAATTTTGACAACTTGTATAATGAAAATAAACCAAATTGTCTTGTTTAGACCTCGGAAATCTCTCAATGCCCTCTATATAACATTCTTAATGCAACACTCTGTCGATACATAGGTATTTAAAATATAAATTTAAAAAATATTAATGCCCACATTTCTACGACAAAGGCAATGACAACACTGGAGAACTGTCAATTTTTTTAAAATATTGTAGTAAACAATTAAAAATGTTTAAGACTGTATTCAGTCTTTTTCCAGTTATTCCAACAGCAAATTCCACTTATCTAATTATTATTATTATTGCAAGAACAATACGGGAGTAATTGACTTACCATGATAAGTATTCGTTGTTGATGGATTGCGAGGATTGTAAACCGTGACTTCCACACCTCTGCTGTTGTATTCAACCTTCCTCACAGCAGCGTTCAGCTTGATGTCCAACCCTTCTGCGAGTGCTACCGGCACGCAGGAGTAGCCATTGCGAACTGGAAAGAAAATAATTATTTATAATCAAACGCGATTGCTTACATTAAAGGCAATTCCATTACAAGTATTTACACATCCTCATAAAACACAAAACCTTGTGTTAATATTTACAATCAAAAGTTTATTTTTAATAACGTTACCATCATAACTGTAACCGTGTCATTACTGTTGATCGTTGTCATCATCGTTGATCATTGTCATCATTATCTATCAACATCATAAAAATCAGCACCATAATCCTTATAATTTTTAATTAAGAGTTGCGGTACTATTATTATGCATTATTTTTAATTTTATTTTAAAAATTTAGATCGTTCTAAATAAATGGAAAATCTCTAGAAAGTGTTCAGTACTTAAAAAGGGAAAATTAAGTAAATGAGGTGTCTAATTACTCCTTTATTGCTATACTCCGCAACTTTTCTAAGATTATTCAGTACGTAATCGTTTCCTGCTCATTAAATTATGGGAACAATATTATTGCGCCCGAACAATATGGTTTCTTTGAAGATCGTTCCACTATTACTAATCTCTGTCGCAAAACTCAATTTATAATTGATGTCATCTTACCATGGTTACCATGGTCTACTACTGGGTACACTTGCTAAGACTGGAATGATAGGCGACCTTATCGCGTTGTTGAATTCATATTTAATAGTTCACAATTTGTACACTATCGTGGTTATCAGTCAATTGAATACCCACAAACATCAGGTGTTCTACAAGGATCGACACTTGGTCCATTTTTATATATCATATTCATTAATCACATCAGTGTTGATTTGGATGAAACATTCTTATATATGTCGATGATATTTCTGAGGATATATTCAATTCGGATTGTTTTAGATTGCAGCAAAATCTTAATCGTATTATTTTTTGGTGTGTTTGTAATAGACTGCCCTAAACGCTAGTAAGAGTAATGTGAGGCATTGCACATTGCCGTTTATCTTGCAACTATCAGCTGGAAGACATTACTTTATATCGACCAGATATATCCGTGACCTTAACGTTATATTCGCCTAGAAATTTTTCTTTTGTCACAAGTGTGTACAAGACCTTTGGATTCGTTAGAAGGAATATGAAAGATTTTAAGACTAAATTGTCTTTGTAATATTTGCCAGATCGAGGCATGAGTACCTATGCATCTGTGATTTGGAACCCTACAATATGCATGTTTTGATATTAGACGGTAAGAGTTAACATTTATAAAAGCTACTCACGAATAGAGTCTGAAGTGGATACACTTTATTGTACAATTCGAGACATAAACAAAAAGGTACCTAATTGTAAATGTCCCTCAACACACATTATACATAGCTTTAGTTCAATATTAATTTACAGGTGTCTTTGTTTGTTTATATATTTTTACTGTACTTGTTTTGTCAGTTTTAGTCCAGTTTAACAATTGTTCAATTTATGTATTATTTGTGATAATACTTTTCACTGCTAGTTTTGTTAGTTTAGTTTTTGTTTGTTAGTTTCTTAGTTTTGTTGTTGTTTGCTTTGTTTCTTACTGGAACTTTTTCTGTTCCTAGATTTTAGCTCGTTGGATATTTTAAATACTTAAATAATAGTTATTTATTGTATAAGTGTTTTAAGTAGCATTTCATCCACGCAAGAATGTTTAAACGCGAGAACGTAGTTCGAGCGTTTAATATTCTTAAGTGGATAAAAGGCAATTAAAGCACGTATGCAATACAACGTTTTATCCATAGAAACATCACAATCATATTTGTGGAGTCAGAATTATTTAATAAAAAAATATTCGCACGACTTGATATTTCTTACTAGTACTCAATGAAATGTGGCAGGTTTTCTTATACCTACTGGTTGCTAAGATACGTTGTTTATTTTCAATTATTTCTATCTGAATTTGGTAAAAAAGCATGAAAGTTTAAGAAACAATTTTCCATTTGTGTTCGACGAATTTAACGAATGGAGAGAAAAGCGGAGAGTAATGACAATAAAAGAAAAAGTCATGCTATCGTATTTTTTAAATTTGAAGAAAAAATATCCAATTCCATCTATGTTGTCGAAGTATTCGATATTGAAGGCTACTATAAAGGTCTACAAAAATATCGATATTGGAAAATATAATAAGGTTACTGCTTATTTGAAGAGTGAATCGAGAGGATACAAGGCAAAAAAAGGTACAGTATTGGAAAGAGCACATATTGAAGAATTTATGACTGGGACTTCCGATAAAGAATATTTAATGATTAAGGTAATATTTCTTACCTGCTACATGTGAGGTATACTTTGAATTATTTTATGTTGCACTAATAATAAGGGTTTCTGGTGCCTGTCGATGCTGCGAATAGACAAATTTGAAAATTAGTGGGGTGCAGGACATTGGCAGTTACCTACTTGTTTCAATACCTGACACCAAGACATGAGTTTCAAGAAAATATACAATAATTATAGAAGAAGGTTTTTGCGCGAATGTGGTTGAAATATACAGAAAATATATTTCTCTGGGCTCAATTCGTCTAACACAAGACAGATTCTTTTTAAGATACTTCAATTAAAAATGTAGGTACTCTCAGCCTGTTGGAATCAACACATTGGCGAAGGTACCCTCAATAGTTGCTTTATTCATGAATATCCCAAATCTAGAAGCATATACTGGCCATTGTATGAGGCTCACTTCAACAACTTTATTTGCCAATAAACCTCCAACTATCAAACGGCACGGTGGATGAAAGAGCTCCTCTGTAGCAGAAAGTTATGTTGAGGAGACTATATCTAACAAACTTGATATTGCAAGGAAATCCAAAGAAAATACAGCTTTACAAGAAGAGATATCCGTAACTTGTGCAAATTCTTCACAAACTTTACTTTCACAAACAATGCTACAAGGGTTGTTATTAACAGAAACGAAGTTAAATGCGATAAAACAATAAATATTAGTATAAATATAAATGTTAATGTTAATAAATAAATTAATTAAATTTGATTTATTATAGGTTTATTATTTTTTCATTATTCTACTAGTGGAACAAAGTTACTTTAAATAAATTAAATAAATCACCTTCAAGAGAATGAGTAGTATGTTTATTTATCACCACAAAAGCAGTTGGTTCTGTAGCTATAAAACTATACCAAGAAACAGAATTGGAAATAACCACAGGTCTAATATAGTATACTATTATATATCTATGGAAATAATGCATCGAACTTTCAGTTGAAGAAGACACCAAATGGCTAAATTCTACCAATACCACCACAAAGCATTACGTGAACATCTTCAGCTCGGATTGAAACGTCTCTCATATTTACACGTCCTTATAGCATCCAAAATGATTATTCTGCCAATTAGGGATTGATATACGAGGCTGGCCGCCCGATGGCGTAAACCCTAATGGAATTAAATTATCATTTTAAATCGATCTATTCTTCGCCGAGAAATATAGATGCACGAGAGAGCATTTTTACGGTATAGGCACGCTAGTGCCGGATAATCCGAGACGTGCCGTATAATCTAGGACGGGAAGGTTTATGGAATCTCGAATTTCGTGACTTGCAGCACATGCTGCACCGTGGAACGGCCAGGGTTTCCTATCATCAGGTAGCTTTTTAAAATATGACTGAAAAAATACTTGGAAAGTTTGCATAAATAATTTTTTGTATAATAATTAGGTGGAGATAATGTTAGGTCTTGGGGTTTGTTGAGATAGTTGATCTATTGAAAAGTTGCGAGAAAAATTCAAAAATATTGTTTACCTCGCTATTTCTTTAAGTACTCAAGTAGCCATCTGGTACGAAACAAATAAAAAGTTGAGGATTGCCTTTCCTTTATAAAAATTTAAACATATTTTCATTTTTGATAACGTAATTTGTTTAATTTTTTTGGTTGACTTTTCAATGATTTCGTCTTATTTTGTCATATTTTTCCTGGACTGTCTTTATTTCTTCATCCAATAACTTAGTTTCAAATATACTTTTTATCATTTCATTTAATTCCTTATTTTATCTTTATATCTAAATCTTCTGTTACAAGTTTAGTTAATAAATTGAAATAAAAGAAAAAAATCATTTATCTACCAAAGCATTTTCATCTTAATTTGGATTACCTTGACTTTTTCATTCTTCTTATACTATTTGATAACTCTTCCTTTTCAAGATTTTTTTCGACCATGTCGGAAAATTTAAAATCGGTTATGAATGCCATCATATCTGAAGGGATGGGAGCTGATGAAGCCAAGTCAGTATTCCAAAGACTACATTAAAACGCATACTCAAAAACGATCTAATTGACAAAACTAATAATCTTGTATCGGATTCGGTGCTTGGTGCTGAGGCTGAAGCAAAAATTATTGGGTGAGGATTGGGGCAAAGCGGTAACCAATCGAAATGTAAGTAGTTGCTGCATTCAGATCAACTGGCATTTTACCCTTTAATTCAAATGAAGGGAAATAAATGATCTAGTAATTAATTCCGAACCTTTAGAAAGATTGTAAGACATCATACTAGAACCAGCTTCGGAAAATGCACCAGAAAAGATGACATTCCAAGAAAAAAAACTCCTGGAAAATCATTAAATGTCATTTCTCCAGTGTCAGTAGTCACGCAGGCAATAAAAAATGATAGATAAAAGATAGTGGGAGTAATCACTACTCTCGTATAAGTATATGGAAGAAAGGAAACAAAAAGAAGATAAAATCTAAAAGAAAAATTTTAAACAGATAGAAAATAAAGGTAAACGAGGACGGTCGAAAAGGAAGCTTAGGAAAGATTTTATGGATTCGTCAACAGATAAATGTTTCAGTGAAATTAAAAATGAATGTGTAGAATGCAAGATTATAGAGTTACAATAAAGAAAGAAAACTGGTTGAACTTTGTAGCATGGTCTCGATGGCTGCATGAAGGCTGTATATCTTTTTCAACTTGTGCCAAGGGTGTGGAAATTCAATTGAGTGTAAAAAAGGTGATGAAGGTGCATATCCATGTCTCCTTCTCTAAATGGTCCATCTGATCTCCATAGTGGAGGAGAGACGGACTTTTTTTGTTCGTGTAATACAGGTTAGTGAAAAGTGTGAAAACCTCACAAAATCCCAGCGAGAAAGCATTTTTGGG